GCGTCTCACCGTGATGAACATGCAGCAGTTAGTCGATCCGTTCGGCGCGCAGCGCGTCGCTCCATCTCGCACGACGGCCATGCATAGCTTATGCCGCTTAATTAAATATCCCTGTTCGCCCGAACACCGGTGGTCTGACGTTTTTCGATATTTTATATGGCGCAATCCGTACGAACAGCATATATGAATCGGACGAATCCTCACCAATGTTTGGGATGCGCTGTGAATTTTTTGCATTAAAACTTTTACATATGGAAAATAAATGTCAGAATTTTAGATATAAAAGTTTCCACGCACTGGAAATTTGTATTCATCGATTTTTAAAAGAATCAGATATTTTGACTAGTTTCGAGAGATGCATGTAATTATACAAATGTAATTATCTCGTATATAATTATTTAAAAAAAAAGAGGAATTACTTGCAATTCATAGTTACAAAGATATTTTTGTATCAACATTTGGGAGAAAAAGAAAAATAGGTATACACAGAAATAATAAGCAGATAAATGATTATTTCCGAATTTCTTCACCGTATTTTAATCTCGATTAAATAATTTTAGGATAACAGATATTATCTAGATAAGCGACAGTAATATATATGAATATAGATGGAAGTATTACAATTCGCTTTTTTAAAAAAATTGATTTAAATAATCAAATCCGACGTTAATTTTCGGTAGATAAATTATAGAAATTTTGTAGTAGAGTGAGTGATTGCGTGAGCGATTATTTTCGAAAAGCCCAAGTACCTTCGAGTCTACTTCTGTAATGAATCCGTCCCCACTGTACGCAATACCGTTGCGTATTCAAACGTATCCCCGAGTGCGAACGAGATCATCGTTGACCGCGGACCGTTTTAGGCTTATTAATTACTTATCCGTCTTCCGTTTCTCGTGTCTTCTCGCGCTCGCTCGGCGCGAAATCGATAGGCCAGGACATATTGAGCACTCGCTTGCGCTGTCTCTCTTTCTCGACGGGTTAGGTTGTCCAACCTCTGTAGGGGTACAGCTACATTGCAGCTCATGCATAATACATTACGATCCGACCTGGAGTAGATTTATATTTACTCCCGTACGGCGGATAATTCGTTAAATATCGACAGGCACCGCACAGTTCCCGCGCGAGCTTTTTACGTCGACGAATATCCGACACGAATATTCCACGCTTTGTAGATCTCTTCGTCTTATTGTACGATCCAGGCTAGTGCAACAGTTGTGCACGAGTTGTCAGAGCCTCTAAACCAGGTTTCCTTCCCGAACGAATGTCAGTTTCGATCTACGATTGGACTCGAATAATTCTCGCGGCACGGCCGAGTGTCATGAGAGAGAGAGAAAGAGAGATTTCTGAAAATCTTATAAATAATCCTTTTTATACGATTGGTATATCGTTGCCAAATGTAGAGTAACTTTTACACACGAGCAGTTTAGTTTGCGTTCAACAAAATATTATATTATTTTTATTGATATTCTGGATTTCCACGAGACCGGATTTATAGTTACGGAGAAATCCGCATGCTCTGTTAAATTGGCAGTGTAACATTTCACTGTTCTAGTATTTTACTATGTCTGCATTGTATCACTTTCGTATTTTACTATATTAGTTTCACCCTGGTTTTATTTTGTGAAAAAAAAAGAGGTATTGACTTGCACCTCCAGTTGTCCGCGAGCACAATTTCGAAATTGTTAATGATGTGTCGTAAAATTTGGCTGCGGAAATGCACATACGGGTATTTTCAGGATTTGATGTATTTGTCAGGATAGTATTTCAAATGTCGTGCTATCTAATGCCGTCCATTCTGGACAGATGAACCGCGAATGTCCGCAACTCGGACTGACGTGTTACCGCGACACTCGATATCGCCTTAGCAAATTGACGTCAATTTCGGATGCATCCGGTGAAAATCGGGACATCGGTTTTGAACATCGATCGCGTGCTTTCGAAAATTCTGTCGACAAATGATTCTGAGTGAGATCACCTGTTTTCTTTCTCTTCTCTTATCGAAGGATCATTTTCATGCAGATATTTCAGATCTGTTTTTTACTCCTGCTCTAGGGCGCTATTTCATTTCAGCGTTTTTGTCGTACGACAAATGTGTACAGAGATCCTCGGATCTCTCTATTCCATAGCCAATCAATAGGCTTGAAAAATTTGTCATACGATAAAAACGCACAAATGAAATATCACCCCTAGACTACATTAGAACTCTCTCTTTCTCGCTTTTGCCAAATATCAAACATATACCTATCTCGCTTCAAGTTCCAAAAGTGTGTACTAATTTAGCCATAGAACTAAATCTTTTATCTATTCTTTTAGGATTTTTCGTAAGCTGTGATACTGTAAACACAATGACGTTTATTCGTCTTTTAGACTCTAGCTTTATTATTATATTTAATCTCTGTAATCTACAGACTGTTACTTATCGCAATTATGGTATTTTCTACTATAGGAAAATATTTCGAAGAGATTGATTTTGCCGAACTTCTTCAATATCAGATTCTTGTCAATTTAACTAATTTGCGAATTATAATTTCATTTAATACTTTGACTATTAAGTTAATTTCAGCATTGAGCTTAATAAATTTAGTGATATTATTTGAATACTTTATTGTTTTTTAATATCTTAATATAATTTACATTGTTTTCTTAATCTTAAATACTATAATTTACATTGTTTTTTAAATCTTAAAAATATTGATTGGGTAAACAAAATCATTATTGACAAATGAGTGACGGGACCTGCGCGAATTTTACATGTCACTCAAATATAGATGACACGACAGTTAAAAAAGTGTTAAGTAAACAATTTACTTGTCGTTTATCTATTTTCATGGATATCTTACACCCTATGCATGTTGGACATAAGGTGTTATTTGAGTACAAATCGAGAATTGTTGAGCGGAAAACATTCGGATTATGATGAAGAATCCTCGTTGAATCTGATGTCTCGAGAATTCGGTCGAATGCCGTGCGCGAAACAAAGAAAGACGAGGAGGGGGGTACGCACCTCTCGTGCAATGTTACGCGGAAATCGAGCGGAAGCGCGGATAACGCCTTAAATAGAATCGTGCACTTGCGATACTTGCATACCGCGGTGCATGACTCGGGCAGTCGCCGTGCGTTCACGTACGACCGGTCTATAACACAATTGTTATTTTCGTCGACTCCAAGGCGGGCATACATACTTTGTAATGCGCCAGCTCCGTATAAAACGCAGGTCGATTCTTGAACCGTACCGCCGCGCCGCCGCGTTATTTCTGGCGGGCGAAATATTAATAAAGTGTAAGGATGCGCTACGTTTGCGTAAACACGCGGCCTTTCGCCGCTCGAATCCCGCATCGCGCATCGACTGAGGCCAGGGCGCCGCGCACCGTTAAACGCTGTATTTCCCCGTGTTTTTCT